AAATTAATTCACTCACATACATACACACACACACACAAAACCGGCTGGGGGCGGGGGAAGATATAACAACTTTTTTTTTTTTTTTGAAGTTCCTACAACAAGCAAATGGAAAGGACATGCCTGGGTGGGTGGGGGGAGAGGGAGGAGGGAGGGAGGTTTCGGTGATGGGACATAATAATCAACTACATTGTATATTGACAAAATAAAAATAAATAAATAAATTAACTAGAGGTTTCGGTGATGGGACATAATAATCAACTACATTGTATATTGACAAAATAAAAATAAATTAATTAATTAATTAAAAAAAGAAAAAGACAATTTATTGTAGATATATAAATCTCTTTCTTTTAAAACACTTTTTGATTATACAAATTTTTTTCTAAATAAATTTTGAAGTTAGATTTTGAAAATGAAAACCTGCAGAGACTAAAAGTAACTCCCTTTCTCTTCTCCTTCCCCAAGAAAACGAACCTTCACAGAAGATGATTGTGGTATAGGTTATGATTTTTGTTTGGCATTTGCGGCTTTTCATCTTTGTCTTAAAGCATAAGAGTAGTGAGAATGCTACTGTGATATTCTATTTTGAGCTTCTAATATCAAACTAACCTCTTTTTAACATTATTATAAGGGAGAGAAGAAAAAAATTTATTGAAACGGAGATGTAGTATACTTAGTTCTAAAACCAGTCAATGACATATTGATATTAGGTGTCTCATCAGCTGTCAATTAGTGATACATAATTTAACACAAAGGATGAGCAACAGTTTTACTAGCAGAACCTCTCTTATGATTGTAGGGACTTCGTAAAACTGAATTCCACTTTCCATGGTATAGTTTAAAACTTAACGCTTTACGTTCTGACCTTCATATTAAGTAGGAACGTAGGCGTGTTTAATCTCTGCAACGAAACTTTTTGTCCAGGACCGCCCACGTTTGCGGTTTAGTAGCAGGTGTAGTCAATTTATCAGGCCGCCTGCTTTTCCTCTTATAAGGGCATTGCTCTGAGAGCCGAGGGTCCCTTATGTCGTGAGCATCGTTATTAGATGGGCTCACTATGTTTCACCCTCCCTGAGGGTGAAGTATGACACAGGGTGGGATGCCTTGAAAGCGGGGTCGCCGAGCTGTGCATGCAACAGGCGTGTGGAGAGCGGTGTTGGTGCAGGAGGAGAGAAGCTCGAGAATCCAAGCCCACCCACCCCTAGTGCGCGACAACGAGGACGGCTGAGCTCAGAGCCTTGGGAGACGAGGAAGTAAGGGGGTCTGCGGGGGTGATGGGATGCAGCAGGGTGATTTACAGGGGTGCAGCTTTCCCGGGGGACATCGCGGCGGCGGCCTGGGGAAGACCGCGCCTTGTCGGGAAGCCCTGACTGAGGCTGAGCGGTGGGAGCTGCAAGAAGGTGGCTTCAGAGCCCTCCCCTCCGTCCCCTGCCTGCCGCCGCTTCCCCCGCCCCTGTCCCCGCCCACGGATTCCAGCGCTTCGCTGGTTCCCCGGGAGTCGCCATGGCAACGGACGCCGGGTTCTGGACTCCAATCCTCGAGAGGGCAGCGCCGCGGGAGGCGCACGGCTCAGCGGCCACGGCCTGGGCTCCGATGGACACCGGGGGCGATGCGCCCGAGACGGAGAAGTGCCGGAAGATCATCGAGAACCTCGAGTCCGCCATTGAGCAATTCCAGTTCGACGCCAGGTGACCCGCGGCCGCCGCCCCGCCGAGCCCCGCTCCACAGCTCCCGGGCCCCTCGCTCCCGGCGCCAGCGCTGCTGTTTTGACTTCTGAAGCGCATTTCTGCTGTGTTCTAAGAGCACGGACTCTGGAGCTTGGGTGCCAATCCCGGCTCCCCTCGTACAGGTCCCGTGAGTTAGGCGAGTTACTTAACTTCTCTGTGCCTCAGTTTCCTCAGCAGGAAAATCAGCGACGAGATGATGAAGGATAGTGCCTACTTCACAGATCATAGTGACTATTTAATGAGTTAATCTTGGTAACGTCTGAAAGAGTGCCACACATATAGGGTACACAGTACTTGTCTTAGTCCCTTCTGGCTGCTAAAACAAAGTACCATAGACTGGGTGGCTGATCAATAATAACACATTTATTTCTTACACTTCTGGAGGCTGGGAAGTCCAAAATCAAAGAACTGGTAAATTTGGTATCCTTTGAGGGACCCTTCCTCACAGACAGCACCTTCTCCCTGTGTCATCAGATAGTGGAAGGGGCAAGGGAACTTCTTCCAACCCCCCCAATTCCTCCAACTCATGCCCCCTCCCACCCCACCTTTATAAAGACACAATCCCATTCTAATGACCTAATGACCTCCAAAGTTCCCACCTCCTAAAACCATCGCCTTGGGGGATGGGATTTCAACTGGAATTTTCTGTGGAACACACACACTCAGGCCATAGCAGCACCATATCAGTGCTTACCTCCCTTTCAAAAACCCTCTTTGCCCCCTCTGGCCTAGTTTTGTTGTTTATTTGGTTAATGCAGAGCTGATGTTTCTAGGAAAATGTATTTTTACTTCTAAAGCACTTTTCAAATCGGTAAGTAGCCATGGAAGTACTTAGGATACTGTAAGGCAAGGGCTTTGTGGTGCCAGGTGGCTTAGAGGCAAGCAGGCCCCTTACATTGAGTCTGCTCCATGAGGAGGAGAAAGGACCATAGCTGTGGGAGCCCAGTGGTGGCACTGACCCAGTGAGACAAGGTTGCCAGCTCAGCTTCCCCGGCTTAATTGTATTAAATGGGTACCTTTGTTAAAATGCGTCAGGGTACACACAGGGCCTGAGTTAGTGGAGCTTGTGGAAAGCACATATTAGAGGTAGCTCGTGGTACACTCCAGAAGCACATTGGCTAGCCCATTCCAATTTACTGATAGGAATGACTCCCTGCCCCGGGGTTCCTCGGCATTCCACGATGGGATAGTTCCCCAACAAAAATGGGATCGCCTCCCACCAGCCAGGCTCTGATGGTGCCAGGTGCTCAGTAAATGCATGTTGACTAGACAAAGGAACCACTGATGCCTGTGTTGATTTTTCTTCACTCAAAATGCTAGGGGCACTGGGCTGGTGCCATGGCGGAAGTGAGAAAGGTGCAAGGTCATGACCGAAATCCTGGGCTCTAAGGCCTGAGCGTGGCAGGGGTATGCACCAGAAAAGCAGCAATCTATAAACCAAATGAGAGCACAGCCTTGGTGAGGTTTACTCTCTAGTCGGGAACCAATGCTAAACTAGATAAGGAAGTAAACTGTATAGTAAGTTTGACAGTGGTAAGTGCCCAAGAAGAAACATAAAGCAGGCGGGAGCAGAGGAAATTATGTGTATGGCAGGTGGGGCGGCAGGTTGTAGTTTTAGATGTGGTGGTCAGGGAAGGTTTTGCTGAGGAGAGGACCATGGAGTGAAGACCTGCAGGCTTGAGGCGGGAAGCCATACAGATATATCAGGGGACAAAGTATTCCAGGCAGAGAGAACAAGAAGTGGAAAGGAGGGTGCCTGCGTGTCCTAGGAACAGCAAGGAGGCCAGTGTGGCTTGAGCAGAGAGAGAGAGGAGAGAGTAGAGGAGGGAAGGGGATTGGTGCTGGATGGTGAGGGACCTTAGACACACCGTAGGGACTTTAGCTTTTACTTTGAATGTGCTGGGAAGCTACGAGGGGATTGGATCAGGAGTGACATGATCTGATTTATCTTTCAATGGGATTACTGTGACTGCTGTTTTTATATAGACTTTAACGAGGACAAGGGCAGAAACAGGGAAACCAGTTAGGGGACGATTACAGTATTCCTTGTGAAAGATATCATGGAGGTAGCAGAGGGAAGGTGCTGAGAGAAGAAGTCAGATTCTAGATATATGTTGAAGACAGGAATGATCGGATTTACTAATGAGTTGGCATGGAATAGGAAAGATACCAAAGTCTGTGTCCTGATTAACTGGAAGAATGGAGTTGCCATTAACAGGGATGAGGAAGGTAATGAGACAAACAGGTTTGGAATATGTTAGGCTTACTTTTGGACATCCTATGTCAGCAGTGACTATTAGACGTCCATTTAGGCTGTTAAATAGGTGGTGGGTTATACGAGTCTGAAGTTCAGAGAGAGGTCCAGCTTGGCTATATCAAATTGGGAGTAATTAGCGCAAAGATGGTATCTTAAGCTGTGAGACTTGGCGAGATCAGTCAGGAAGTGAGCATAGTGAGAGGCCTTTGATCCATGGGCAACATCCAAGTAGGATATTATTTGAAGAGGAAAAAGGAAACAATATTTATCTTATTTAACACTGAGCAGTACACCACAGTGAAAATTTGGCACACCTAATGCCATCTTCATTGACTAATTCGTTAATGAGCATTTGTTAGGATGCACTATTCTAGGATTCAGTGAGAAGTGTCATTGCATTCTATAAATGAATATTCATGCATCTGTTTTCTAGACCAAGTTAACATGTTAATTTTGTATCTAACTTATCAAAAAACGTAGTTGTTATCTTCCCAAGTCTGTTTTATGTGTAACAACCAGCCTGTGCTTCAGAAATAGAAGTGCTGAGACTATAAATAAGGACCATGCAGGAACCACTTAGCTAATTTGTTGTAATGTGGGTTTCCATTCTAGGCAGTGGGGTTGTCATTTAAAAGTAGAGACATTTGGAATGTGAAGGGAAGAGGAAGAATGAACCTTCGTATTTCACTAAGATTCTGAATGAGCCAGATCTTTCTGAAACAGTCACACAAAAAAGTTAGGACTGCAGGGACTTAGGGTCACAGGCTTGTTCTCACCAGGGGTTCATAGGAAGAATCTGTCACTTCAGGCTTATGATTTTAGATGAGTTATTTACTCTCTTTGAATCTCAGTTTCCAGATCTTCAAAACAAGAAAGTTAATATCTCTTTTTTAGATTGTTGGAGGGATTACTGGAGGGAAAAGTGTGTGTGATAATGCATATTATCTTAACAAACACATGAGACAAGTTAAACACTTAATAAATATGTACTAATATTATTTTTAGACACCCTGGAGGATGTATCCATAAAATTATTGGACCTGATTTTAAAATATTATATTATCGTGATATCATGGCACCAGAAGGAATAACTGAAAACATTATTCCAAGTTTCTAAAATCATATCCTGAAAAAATATATATTGGTAATAAAACTATCCACACATACACCTACCACCGCAATAGGTCTTTTGCTTAAAATGGGAAGGAACGAAAGAGTGAACATGTTAAAGTTTAGTGGAAAATGAAATTGAATAGTGAAAAGGAGCCGCTGAGCACTGGGGAGGGTAACGGATTGCATTTCTAGCCTGGAAGGATGAATGACTGAGGTCTGTTAAATGTGCAGCAGTGTAGGATGTAAAGAAACAGGGTAAGTTCAGGGGGCTATTTGTATTTATTTTATTGATGTAGCATGTAGGGTCCAGACAGGAGGCAAAAACCTCACCAGTCATTTGAACAGGGAATAATTCTTGTTTCTTTTTAAATATGAAGAAGGAATTTGAACTAGCAAAAGGTGGTAAGGTGGTAAAGAAGACTCGAAGCAGTATGGTGATAGCAAATGCAGAAAGCAGCTATGACCTTTAGGTCTCAGGAAGAGTAAAGAAGGAGAGAACAAAGAATTTAGAAGACCTCCACCCCACAAAGGCTGAGATTAAGACCTCTCCAGAAAAGATATGGCTGCCACCAAAACTCAAAGTCTGATGGTGGCAGAGAAAACTTGCTAGGGTTGTGACCAGAGCTGGCCACAGGGATGGCTTGCCCAGTGGCCAGGATGAAAGGTGCAGACAGGCCAAAGTTCTTGACCTTGCTGGGAGAGTCAAATCTTCATTCCTGAGGATCCTGAGTTTTCAAAACTTCTGCCTTTTTTTTTTTTTGGTTGCTGTATTTACCCATTAATCTTTACTATTGGGCTAGGAAACACTAAGAGTCACTTCAGAGAATCCCCTGGGTTCCAGACACAGTCTTCCTTGATTCTACTGTGTACCAACAACTCAATTGCCCCTGGGTATTCAGGATCAATAACTCTAGCCAGTAGAGTGACCCCTGTTTCTGCCTGTGGATCAGTTGCATTAGGATCACAAAGTGGCCAGGCATTAGTCTCCTCTAATTCAGTAGAATCGTTATGTTCTGGTGCAAGCTTTCTCCCCTTGGGAACTAAGACCTCCAAAACAGCAAACCACAAAGTTGCTGAGACATAGTGAGGGGAGCCTCTTCCACTTGATCCTGGACCTGTAGCTGTAGGAGAGATAGCATTCTATACTGATTCAAAGCATAGACTCCATCCTGTAAGACAGAATCACGTCCATTCATGAATTTGTCTCTCCACTGAATCTTCATAAACTAGTCCGCCTTTCTATTAGGCCAGCCACTTCTATATGATGGATTATGTGATAAGACCAGTTAATTCCATGGCAAGAGCCTATTGGTGCATGTCTTTTGCTATGGAATGAGTTCTTTGATCAGAAGTGATGCTGTGCAGAATACCATGATGGTGGATGAGGCATTCTGTAAGTTCATGCATGGTGATTTTGGCAGATGTATAATGGTCAGGGAATGCAAACCCATATCCAGAATATATGTCTATTCTGTGAAGATGATGGCAGAAGTTCTATGTTGTCAACCTGCCATTAGGTGGCTAGTTATCCCGCCTGGTTAATACTGCCATATTGGGGGCTCAGTATTGATCTTTGCCGTTGGCCAATTAG